ACGGGATAGTGCGTCTGTTATCACATTCTTGGCTCCTGGAATGTGGCATGCTCTTATGTGGATGTTCAGGTTGTCTGTTATGCTGAACAGTTGAAAGCAGAGTCCAGAAGGTTCGCCGACCTTGTTGATCCTTCTGTTTATGTAGAACACCACTGTGGAGTTGTCTGTATGTACCGTCAGAAGAGCATTCTTCAAATGCTGGTCCAGTGGAGTATGGCGTTTATCACTGCTTTCATTTCCAACATGTTGATGTGCAGATCTTCTCTGCTATGGTCCATATCCCAGCTGACACTTCATTGTCGAGGTGTGCTCCCCAACCTTGGAGAGATGCGTCCACATAGAGATGCGTCTTGCACTCCGGCTCTGCTAAATAGGTGCTTCTGCGACCATTCGATCTCTGAGTCCACCATATTAGATATGGTTTTTAGTCTGTCCGGGAGTCCGAAGGGGTCCAGATCGTCCAGATGTACATTCACGAAGACCTGTAGTGGGCGTAGTTGTAGACTCCCTCTGTGTGTCATGTCCTGTGCTGATGTGAGAAGACCCAACAGACTCTGTCACTTCGTAGTAATAGGGGAGAGAGTAGTGCTTGAGATACAATGGCTTGTATCTAGATCGTGAAACCCTTGCCGTGTCCGTAAGGGAAATGAAGCGGTGTCCGACTCTGTGACTGCCATCGTTGTGAAGTCTATATAAAGTAGTCTGGCTGCCGTCACCCAAAAGTCCGTCCAACGTATGTTGCTGCAATTCGTCTGATGAATCGTCTTCAATGCTGACAGGGAAGGTCTCTTACCCCGTGAAGGCAGCCAAATCATGTAGGTCCTCGCTCGCTGACATGTTGTTGTCACTTGTAACCCATTTCTTGACCTGTGAACTACGTCCGACCTCTGCGCAGGGCGTTGTCTCTCTTGGTCCAATCAAAATAAAGCATTTTGATTCCTTTGGCTTCCCGTGATGTGACGTCACCGGTGTAGCAGGAAAAAGGTCCTTGTAGAATCTAGTGCCGCCGTTGATATCTTATCAACACTCGGTCTTGTCCGTAGCCTTCCGGAGTTACACGAGTGACCACGTGTATCGAGGTTTGAATGGTAAACGCGCGAAAAATTTCGCCGCGTAATACAGATGTAGGTAGGCTGTTTTCCTGGCTGCTGTGACTGTTTCTTCAGTCCTGAAGATAATGCAGTCGTCCTTTTATACAGATGATCAGCTGAATCTTCACGTCCTCAGTGGTGCTATTTGTAGACTGCATACATCGATCTTAATGAAGCGTCGTAATTGTAGAGTTGATGCTGAACTTTGTTGTAAATTCTACCCAGGGAGTCGTTGATGATTTTGTAGTTTCCTAGCCTTAGCAAGGCTGCTGCTGAACTACGCCACTGTGAATATCTGCAGATCTGTACGGAAGTGAAGATCTCTGTATGGCCATGAGTCCCGTTATTTTCTTCTGATGTAGATATATCTATCTATGTGAATCCCGCCTGGATTCAGTCTGAAGGTCCGCGCCGGAGATGAATTCGGACAAGAGTACCCCTCTTGAACTTCAATACATGTTCCTCAGTCTTTACGCCGGCGAAGATCTTTCCCTTCTAGGGTGACGCTAGGTCCAGTCCGAAATGATGATACCGCCATCGTGTCCACTGGTATATGATGGTTGCGTAGCGATCTGCGTGGTGCGTCTGTATGGCGATCTGCGTGTAGGTGAGCGTCTTCTTGTCCGGGATTGCCTTCCTGGCAATGTATTCCTAAGTGGTGAATCCTGTGATGATCTGCTAGGTGTTGTTGACGCCCTTGAAGATAACTCAGATGACCTTCGCGCAGGTGAGAAATTTTGTAGAGGGTCTGAGTCCCGGGACGTCTCTCTAGTCCTTCTAGGTGGTGTAGGTAGCCTGCGTGAAAGTCCTTTATTAGGCTCATCATCTGCTGACGGTCTCTGAAGATTGCGCCATCCTGTGCGCAGGTTGCTGACGTCATGTAGCGTAGGTCTGCTTTATGACGTCTAATTAGGTCCGGGGAACGCCTATTTCTCCTTCGTGAAGGCTCGTCCGTGAAGACCTGCGTGCAGGTGAGAGGTTCTGTTGAGCGTCTGAGTCCTGAGACGTCTCTGCGTTGTAGATGGCCTGCGCGAATGCTCTTCATTAGTCTCATCATCAGATGATGATGTATCTCGGTCGGATGAATGTCTCTTCCTTCGCGCAGGCTCGTTGACGTCCTGTAGAGTAGGTACGTGAGTGCTGCATTCTCTTCCTTAGAGGGTGACGTCTGTATCAGGTCCACTGTTATGAGATCGTTGATCGTCCTTCGCTGGGGATCTGTGTGACGATCTGCATGGTGATCTGCGTGGAGATCTGCATGAAGATCTGCATGGAGATGAACCTGTTGAGCTGCGTCTATAGGGCGATCTGCGCGGCAACCTGCGTGGAGGTGAGCGTCACTAGGTTCGTGAATGCCTCAGTGGAGAGTTCCGTTGACGTCCTCTGCCCCTCGGCTTCTTCCTCTGTGAGGTGGGTAGCCTTCGTGAAGGTTCTTCATGTGCCTCATCCTCTGAAGACGAGCGTGCCGTCAGGTTGTTGACATCATGTAGCGTAGATCTGCTCTTGATCCTGGAGCTAGCTTCGCTGGAGGGCCTCTCCGATGTATCGTCAGTGTTGGGTCCTTCGTGCAGCTCCAGGTCGTCTCTGCGGGTGATGACTTGAGCATGAGTGCCCTGTGGCTGTCCATCATGCGATGCTCTTCCTGCGGGAAGCGCTTCTCCATCATCTCCATTATCTGCTGAGAGAACTGCTGCATGAAGGCCCCGGGTTGAACGTCTGCAATGATTGTAGAGCTGCCCTCTCTGCGCTGGTAGCGATATGGTCCAGGGATCGCTCATCTGCCGCCAGTGTAGATGGTAACTCGGACTGTGTGCTGTATCTCTGGGATGACCAGCAGTGGCTCATCATGAAGTCATCTCTCTTCCATCAGGACGATGTCGGCCGAAAGGTCCTCTTAGTCTGCGCAGAAGTCCCCGTAGAGCTGCTAGACGTCTTAGGGGTGTGAGGCTTCATTCTGCGTAGAGGATGGCTTCTTCTTCGTCTGCGTTGAGGGGTTGTCTGATGTAGAAGCCCTCTACTTCAAAGTAATGGCGGACAACATCCCACGCCCATCCTCCGAGGACACCTCCGGCAGGTCACTGGATGGAAGTAAGTCGTCTGACAGCAGTAGACAGCTCGTGAGGGACTCAGCCGGTTTATCCATGACTTGTAAAAGTCGCCTGGATTGTCGCTAGTACGACTTAGTACAGATAAAAAATATTTATGAAATTGAATTTCTGTTAAATGCTGATAAAGATTACAGCGAGAGCTGGAAGTACATGTTGTTGTGCAGCTGGGGCACAATAAATGCGGGTCTGCAGCAGGGAACCTAAACCTACAACGAAAACAGGTTTTCATGAAATGTAAACAACTGAACAATCACGTACAAAACCGTGAATAAACAGTCAAAATACGAATAAATTTCAAACCATATTGTTGAAGGATACTCCCTAAACCCCTATAAAGGTAATTTATAGGGTAATAACTAAATAATCAAAGGATATAGTGCCGTATTGGAGACACAGGTGCTCTCCCAACCGTCCACTAGGGCGAAGAAGGAGAGAGTGAAGCGTGAGAAGACGGGTGGCGCCGTTTTCCGCCAAAAAGGCGAGGGAGATAACTCGTGGGGAGTAGTGATTTTACATCAGTTTTATTGAAGGGAGCTTCAAAAAGGAGATACAAGTGTTCCACTAACGTTCGCAAGAGGAAGGAGACAAGCAAAAATACATGAGTCAGGATAAGGAAAAATTATGCTTTTTAATGTGGATTGAATATGTCTCTAGTGATTATATCTTATCTTAGCTGATATCTCAGTACCCCAGCCCGACCCCAACCACCGTCTGCGCCACCCGTCCTGGTCTGCTTTTGAGACGACCCCTACAACCTGTTTCTTTTTATAGTGATAGTGGTGGTGGTGGAATTGGGTTTAACGTCGTGCTTGAGAATATTTCGCTCATATGACGACGTGCATGCGTGTGTACCGCTGCTTGTACTAGCCCAGACTGAAGCTGGTTTTAAAGTGCTAGCCTACTGAGATACCATGCCGCAGTGAAGCATGAATACCCCACTCAGACACATTATACTGACTCCTAGCCGACCAGTCCTTGTTGTACCCATTAATGCCGAGCACCAGGCAGGGACCAACAAGTACCATATTTTAACGTCTTTTGGTATGACGTGGTCGGGGATCGAACCCGCGACCTTACGCACTCCGGGCGGACACTCAAACCACTACGTCACGAAGGCGGTCTATAGTGATAGTGAGACGCCATGGTAGCTACATCCTTAATAGTTTCAGTATTAAAGTTATTATTTTTTACGTAAGCTATCGTTTATAATGAAGCTAAGTCTAAATTCAAAGTGATCATCTAAAAAGTGTCCTTTGAAATACAAAATCATCGCACACTAATTTGCATAAAGCCATGTTCTGTTCTAAATACGTTGCATTGGACTTAGAAAAAACCCCGCACTGCTCATCTCTGCACTAATCTCTCTTCTGTAAAATCCTTCTTTTACGTTTCCTATCTCCCTCCCACTGTGACTGTAGTTAGGCCGAACTTAGTTTAACAGATATTTCACCCTTTCACATATTAACTACCTAAATAGTAGATATAAATGTGAAAAAAAACAGTTTTTTTCTATTTCCAACAGTACTTTAGTCACCTCTTACAACCAGACAATCCAGACATTAACATCATGAGCATCGTCACACAATTGGGATACGATGAGATGTGTCAACCAAGTCAGCGAGTCTGACCACTTGATCCCGTTAGTTGCCTCTTACAAGCATGGGCTGCTGAAGACCAATTCTAACATCTCTCATAATGATAAGTTGGTGAGTATGTTCTTATATTGCTTTAACAATATTCCAGCAATGTCTGCACAACCTTAACCAACAGTTGCCCACATCAATACACAGACTGTGGTTACCTTAAAGTCCTCCATGGTCATGTCCACAAGTTCAGCGAGCTCATCTTTGTCTGGCTTCCAGTCATCTTCCTCTTCCTCGTCAGTCATTAATTCGAAATATACAACCTTCTTGGATATCCGACTGAATGTATTATCCAGACAGAACTTAAAGTCCCCTGTGCCCTTCACATCAAACCTGGCAGAAGAGGAAACATGGCCATGGTTAACACTGAACTTAACTTGTTTGATGTATATCCAACTTGGGGCGGTGGGGTAGCCTCGTGGTTAAAGCGTTGGCTCGTCACGCTGAAGACCCGGGTTCGAATCCCCACATGGGTACAATGTGTGAAGCCCACTTCTGGTGTTAGGCTACCCCACTGCCCTTTAATGATGGAGGAAAACACTAAAAGGATGTTAATGTATACAACAAGACCCAGCCTGAGTATGGAGCTCATAAGCTGGGAAATTCTTGGAATCAAACCCTTTGCCGTCAGATCCAGGTAGCAGGGTTATCTTAGGCACTTCATAATCCAAGACATCACACAGAATATTTTCACACAAAATATTTTCACATAAACATATTAAGTGAAAAAGGGAGTCAAGCATATTTTGTATGATTAATTAATCATCAAGAACATCCCTGTCTTCAAGTCCCAGAGTATCAATGGTTGGTTATAACATCAACCAATGATCCTAAATGAATTTAAGATTGGAGACATTAGTCTGTTTGCTGGAAAATCATACTGATGAAAAGGCAAATAAATATACATTCGAAAGCACAAATTGTCTTAAATGGCATGAAAGTTACTCATTTCTCCATACCAAATCGTCACTATAATTTCAGACATTCACTTGAAAAAAGACAAACGGAATGACACAACCTGATTAAATATTATCACAAGATCTGTACGGGAATAGCCTTCAGGAGGCCACAACATCCCTGAGACAAACTGACTCAGCCAAGTTTGGTGGTTTGTTGTTTAAAGCCGCACTCAGCAATATTCCAGCTATATAGGGGCGGTCTGTAAATAATTGAGTCTTGACCAGACAATCCAGTGATCAACAGCATGAGCATCGATCTACACATCTGGGATACGATGACATGTGTCAACCAAGTCAGCGAGCCTGACCCCCCAATCCAGTTAGTCACTTCTTACAACAAGCATGACTACTGACTAGTTACATTTCGCACAGCAAACTGCAGTGCATTAGACGACACAGTTGCCTGTTCTACGCGTCAAAATATAATGATGAAGTGGTAATACCTGTGGACATTCTCAGTTTTGCGACCATCTGCTGCCAGTAGCTGTCCCTCCGGTGTGTAAGCAGCGAACCCAATATCCAAATCCCCACCATCAATCACCTGAAACCATAATTCTCATCATAATGCTGGCAATCATTAAAAACATGTTGTATGGAAGATATGTTTGAAGGGGCGATGTTTTTAGAAAGTGGACAATTTTTTCTCCTCCTGTTCCTTCATCAAAGAAAAGTAAAATACAAATTCATTTAAAAAAGAATACACATACTGATACAACAGACTTGCCTACCAGCCAATCATTTGGATACTCACACATATGGAATCACAAATATTTACAGCCCTCTTCAACAAAACTGGATTTTATACTATCTTAATCAGTGTTCAAATATAAGCAAAGACGATAAACGGTTCTTGTGATGACAAGAAGATGTAGAAGGTTAACATTTATATGGTCACCAGATTTAAATAAAAAAGCAGCATCTCCAAGACCTCATTTAATTTTGAACACTTCTAATCATTTGAGAACTCTTTGCAAAGTGAGCAGTTTTTGGTTATATCAGCAATATTAAATACAGTAAACTATGATAATAAGGAATTCAAAAGGACCGATAACTTCTGTTTGTTATAACTATAATTTGTTATATGGCAAATAAACAAAACAAAAAGAACAGCTTATTATATCCGTCAGTTCATTGTAAGCATGCTCGTTATAAACATAGTTTAGTGTACATACACTGGGCTGGAGTGCTTGCAAAGAGAATAATTAGGAGATAAACATACTGTGTTGGAAAATCAGAGGTATATCACGAAATTATAATAGCTCAAAATGTTTTATTTAAAACCGCATGCTATGCGTTCGATTTTAAATCAAATTTAGAGCTATCATAATTTCGTTATAAACCTCTCATTTTCCAACACAGTATGTTACCTCTATTCTACCATAACTGTGTTAGTAAGAATTTTTTTAAAATACATATTGTGTTGGGAAATCAGAGGTGTATATAACGTGATTATATACCTCTGAATGATCTGATATATATGCATACTGAGCAAGTCATGGCTTGTTTTGGTAACCAATCGGGATGTCATCATCAATCACTGATTTGGTCAAAATGATACATTCATGGACTATACTAGGCCTGTCTTGATCAATCTATTCATGACTACAGGCTTCCTTCTACAAATGTTCAAAAGGCAATATTGTCATGGATAAGTTATTTTTCTGTCTTTTTGAAACTGAGTTATGCAGTGCAGCTTCAGTTGGGTAAAATACATGGTATTACTTGCTTTACTGTTAAAACAGGAGAAACAAAAAAGATAAACCTAAGATAACAGTGTAATCTCATTAAAACTGACTGACTGACTGAGTTTTGGTTTTATGCAGCTTTTAGCAATATTCCAGCAACATCACAGCAGGGGACACCAGAAATGGGCTTCACACATTGTAACCATGTGGGGATTCGAACCCGGGTCTTCGACGTGACGAGCCAACGCTTTAACCACTAGGCTACCCCACTGCCCCAATCTCCTTAAAAGGTTACACTGAATGACACACTTTTATGATATGTCTGTCAGTACAATTAAGTGTCCAAGTGAGACACCAGTGCTAGTTGTTGCCATCAGGACGTCCAACAGTGAATATGCTACAATAATGTTGTTGTTTTTTTGTTTAACACCACACCAGGAATCCTCACAGTGATAGTCAAAATATACACTTTACTTAAAGGTCACATGCAACGTAAAAACACAACTTTGCAGATTCTGATACCTTTCGGTATGGACGTACCGAAACAAATCGTCAAAAATGCAAATTCAACTTATAAAGTTAAAAAATAACGCGATGAAAAAAAACGCGCGAAATCGGAGTTCAAACGTTTCACTACTTTTCCCCAGACTTTTCTGGGGAAAACGGGTTTCAACAGCTGGGCTGCGCTCATAGCACGTGCGCAGTGAAATAGGTTCGCGCAGCGGGTTGTCGGGTGAATACTCGTTGAAAGCTTTGGTGTGAGCTATTTTTCTAATGTTTTGTTGATATCTCATGGGCGCGAGCTTTTTATATGTTATGACAGTAAATTAACTGTTTATATAATTTCATTTGTCTATTTCACCTCACGTTCTTCTTAACGAGTCACTTTCTCAGTTCGATACTTAAAAGCAATGTCATTATTTAGCGTTGTACAGAATTTCTAACTGGATCTTTGTAAAATTTGTCAGGCATATTTGAAATCAACTCTGCTCTGCACACATAATTTCAGTTCAATTTTCCGACCTCTATTTAACTAATGACATCAAATTTATAAACTTAGGTAGGTAAGATAATTCCTCTCAAATGTGCAAAATTTGACTTGGATCTTACGAAAATTAAATACATGAAAATTATTTAGGCTACGCTAAAATATCATGTAAGTCTATGGAAATTACGTCAAGTGTCCGAATATAACTGGCACAGGTCTGTACTCAAGTCTGGATACTGGATCAAGCTGTCACTATACATGTACCACTGGATTACGTTCATATTTCGGTTCCTCCAAATACCTTAGAAACCTAAGTCTTCTCCATTCTGTTGCACACAAGTTAAAGCTTTGAATAAGATTCAAAATAGGAAGATGTATCGAAAGAGAATTGTCTCTTTCGATGTGACAATACATGTGTTCGACTTTACACCCATAGTTTCTGTGAATTGTTACACACAAACGTCAGATCTTAAGATTGCTGCATGTAGACATTGTTAGTTATCTGGGTCCATCACTTAGAAACCATCAAAATGCTGAAGCTGACAGCTAATGAATGAAGCGCCGTGGTGAGAATGTTGACAACTGAAGTCTATAGAAATCACAACTGACCAGTCATGGCAGTACGCGTAGTAGAACTGACGGATAGTGACGGAAGTTACAAGTTGATTCACTTACTTGATACTCCACTTCTATTGTTGTGTCCACTTTTATATTCTGGAAGAAACATTCTTGTACCCCCGGCTTAACTTCAATGGTAAAATCAGAATCGATGCAAACCGCTATCGGTAAAAATGCAATAACGACGAGCTGGAGACTGAGTACCCTCATGCACGCCTCCATCTTGGTAACAGGTGCGCTATTTTTGTATGTGACCTTTGACCGGACGACGCGAAATGAAATATACCTTCAAAATTATAAAAGAGTATATATAATTTCAAAACAATGAATTATAAAATCTATTCTTTTTACGAAATGTAAAAACAATCGTTTAATTAAATTTATGCAAATATTTCGGCATTTCTTCAGAATGAGGCCCATTTTAGCACTTCTATTTTGCATATATTGTGCCCTGCACGAAATAGTCCACAAATTCCTCATTGATTGCTGGTATTTGTAACATCCTATTGGGTGCATGATATGGAGAAGCTACGGTTATACACATGATAAGTTCGTCTGAATAAAATATGGATCAAATATATATTTATACATGTTTGTCCCCCTCAACAAAACATGTCGCCGTATATTCTTCCGCGCGTGCAAGGTGGAGTGGCTTTCTAGAAAATTGGTTTGTTGTGCAGGTGTGATGTTACGAAAATTATTTCCCAATCACACCGTTTGTTGTTGTAGATGTTTAAAAAAATCACAGACATTGTAAATTCAACTTACAGACATGACATTAGGCCATCCGTTTATAGACAAACGCCTTGAAATGGACCCTGTGTGGAATCTCCCGTATTGTTGTTATAGAATTTTTAGGAAATAGTAAATTTTACACGACATGTGTAAGAAGAATAATATGTTTATTTTTATTTACTGTGACTGATGACACCTGAAAACTATCTTTCGTTCAAACACCCTTTAAGATGATAACATCATATCTCTAGAATGGAAACGGAGGAGGGTGAGTACGTGTCAGTTGAAGACAACGAAATTTGTACAGTGGAAAGTGGAGGTACATTCTACTGGAATACTGACTTGGGACACCCCGAGTTTGTGGAGGGGACAGTTTCTTTCGTAACAAATGAAGATAATTCTTCAGTGGGTGAAATAGAAAACGAAGTTGGCGATTCGTCAGAAGAGCAAGAAAATGAGGAAGAAGAAGAGGTGGATATGGAACCTTTAAGTTTCGAACTTCAACAAGGCTTCAGAATTTTACGTGAACTTATGGCAGATGCAAACAAGTCGGTCAATTGGCACTTCTTAGAATCGGTCGACGATTCATTTCCAGAAACTCACGACTATTATGACCGAATTAAGTCTCCAATGTGGCTAAAGAAAAGTAAGTAACTCAAATTATATGATAGTTAGTTGTGCTGTCAGTTGATTATCAATGAGTAATACGGCACTGATTTCAAGAGGAATTCCCTCAAATTTTGGGAAAACCCCTGATTCTATTTTTGTCATTTCCAAATAACGTTCACTAATATATATTTGTAACTTAAATGCTTCCATAAAGAGTTGTGTATAAAAGTGTGATGTGATGTTATTAATGTTTTGATCTTGGATGTCAGAAAGGTGAATATGGGAAACTGTTTTGTTTCCAGTAGACATCACTTACAAATCACAACAAACTTAATAAGTTATTGGAAAGAGGATGCAACCTACTCAGTGTTTACTTAAAGAAAGTAAGAGCATTTTAAACTGACAAAATTCCTTTTAATCCGTAATCAATCATGAATATCAATTAATACTGACAGGCAATGTTTGCACGCCCACACATTCATCACTTTTAAGGTTCCACCCTCAAATTTGCAGAGGTCTTTGTAAAACTACTGTTAATATCGTAAATATTGTAACTTACTTTGTCAAAAAATATAAAACCTTGGAACAATTGTAGTTTCAACTTTGGGAAAGATTTCCGCCCTTAACCCCCGTATATTTTTAATCATTATATGCCTAAGAATATACGCCTATTTTTTTTTTATAAACAGCCTGCCTAAACCTAAACCCTAACCCTAAAATTTAACCCCAAACCTAACCCTAAACCCTCGAAATAATCCTAATAAATAGAATACATTTCAAGCGGGTGTTACAGGCGGAATTCTTACCCGAACTGTCAGTGAGTTTCCTCCTAATATTAAATATTTTAATTGTTGTATGAAGAATGTCAAGGTTAGAAATTAGTGTCACTCAAACCATAGAAATATGAAATAAATTTACAGATATTCAAGTGTGACATTATGACAGTGTTTGAAATTCTGTAGAAACACAGACGAAGACGAGTTCCATGTCCTCCTTGTATGTCCTAGGCATGAGGAGAGTAGACAAAAGTATCTACCAGAATATTATACAAAGGACCCATCTTTCGTTAAGTTTGTAGGACTACTAACCAACAAAAATGAAAAACTCACCTTGTGTTTAGCAATTTTTTTAACAAAGATATTTGAGACTAGAGAGGCCTCAGTTTAATCCCTACCTTGCGACTTTGTATACCTTACATTAGTATGCTATGTATTTGTCTATCCCCGGGTTTATGCACCAAGTCTAAATTGCTACTCAAGAAAGTTTGAACATCACTAACTGTATATTATTATTGTTCAGTGTGGTCCCCCGCCATGATGTTGCTGGAATATTGCTAAAAGCGGTGTAAAACCAAAGTCAGTCAGTGTTCAGTGTGTATATTTATCCATCCACATGTATTTATATACTTATGAATCTTTGTAAACGACAACATGAAATGTATCATCACAAGGTGCTCACACCACTAAACACTCTGTATTGCCATGTACTCATGGCCTCATATACAACTAAAGTCTGTCTGTCTGTCTGAAATTCAGCATGATATTGATGGGTTCTTGTGCATACCAAACATAAAAGATTTAGTGGGTCTCTGAATTCAAACACTATAGAAGAAATGAAGTATTCCCTTAATTTTTTTAATTCAGAATGACTTGTACCTACAAATGAACTAAAAACAATAATTAGGTCAGTTTATTCGATTGATTAGATAATAAATGCTGTAACTGATTGTCAAATATATAAAAGAAGAAAATTTATTGTTATTTTCTTCTGTTTTTCTGTGTCAGATTATGATTATTGCACATAGGTTTATTACTCACTATGCAGTTAGTATGCCTTGTATAATTAGTTGGGTAACACTGACCAATAGGGCTGCAACGAATACACTATGTGGCAAATATGATATGTATCATGAATATTGGGTAATGAATACAAATAATTATTCACGAATACAATATTGTAGTTAAGTGATTGATGCACAATTTGGAATGCCCATGTTTACAGTGTTAATTTGTCACAGCAATAACCAGTGATCTCATGACACTCAAATTTGGTATGTGATAGTTATAATCGACAGTACCATGTGCGGCCTTGGCAAACTAACATGACTTGCACTACTGCAAGAGAAGTACATATTCCATTCTTACTGATCTCACTTTGAAAAAAGATATAAGGGTTCAAGTAAAACACACTCCCTTAAAGAAATCATAAATATTCATTAATATTCGGTTCTGGTGACCATGAATAACAAATTGAATTCATGAAGGGCTTTGGTTCGATTCACCCAATATGCGAGTAAATCGTAACAGCCTTACTGACCAACTACTTTAAAGTTGAAAATTGAAAAAAACATGTACACAAACATGAATACAAACCCCAAGATTTTATCAAATGATAAAATGATGCATTTAAAAATCTCTATCTGAACAAATATACCAATCAGTTTTGGACATACATGTTTGTTTTTCATACATTAGTAGCAAGAATAGAAGTTGATAGAAGTTGAATGTTTTCTGTTTGTTTTTCAACCTCCTACATTGAATTTTGAATATTTTGTATACCAACCCAAAAATAGGCCTATGGTTTAGCTCTTTGGTCACATCATGATCATAGATCTTTTAAACTATATCATTATAACCTCACAACACAGTTTTCACAGACAGAATTAATTTATGTTAATGATATGTTTATTAAAAAATGTTACCATAGTAACTGTGTTCCTTATGTGACTATGTCACTGTATATCATGGAGTATAACTATGGTAACCATGGTAATGGGGTTAATGCTTGCTAGTTACATGGTTGCTTGTTATAAAATATATATATGAACACCTGTAAAATTAATTTCGAAAAATTCAGAATGCATTTTTATGTTTGCTTATGTTTTATGTTGTATCTCATAACTGGACCAAAAAAGAAGGTGAATTTAAACCCGATAAGGACAAACTTTATGGATGAACAACTTCTTTATTTGTGTGATTCGACGTTTTGATACAGACTCTTGTATCGTTGTCAAGCAAGTTAAACCCTACTTACATTATCTGATTATTCCAGTGAATGTGAAAGTTATAGAAATAAGGACTTAAATAATAATTCGAAATTGTTGTAACAAAAATGAGGTTTTCTACATTTTCTTGGCCATGGTTATAATATGGGACAGTCATTCCTTTGAAATGCCTTGCTCTTGTCATTTAGACAGCAACATTACAAGTGTTGGTAAAATATTAATGCATGAGAGTTGTGTTTCATGCTGCTTGGAACACCAAATCAGTCCTATTACATATTGATAGCTTATTGATCAAGGCAATCTCTGACTGATGTACTGTATTAGCTGTATTCTCCATTAAGAGCTCAGTCTTTTTTGTTTTATTTCATTTTTTTCTTCAAAGTTTTATTTTTGTAAAAATGGTACATGAGACATACATGATGTATATGCATTGTACAGGACATGAGAATTAAAAAAGTGGATTAAAAAAAAAGATGATTAATTCTTTCACACATTCATACCAATGCATACATACCCAATAAGTGATTAAATCATGTTTTTTCATTAAGGTTCGATGCATGGCCCATTTTCTTTCAAATTTTAATTTTTTTTACAGTTTACAACATTTTCTGTCAGCAGGGGGCGGTGGGGTAACCTAGTGGTTAAAGCATTTGCTCGTCACACCAATACCCACGTTCGATTCCCAACATGGGTAAATGGAGTGAAGCCCATTTCTGGTGTCCCCCGGCATGATATTGCTGGAATATTGCTAAAAGCGGCGTAAAGCTATACTCACTCACTCATTCTGTCAGCAGTATCAAGTTATAGTATCTTGATTCTTTCTTGAAGTGAGATGGAGTTGGTAATTTCTTTTGCAGCTTGCATTTATATATGTGATACTTAGCAAGTAGCAGAATTAGATCAAAATTATCATCAGTTTAAAATGTGGATGAACTGAAAAGGGTCAGATCAACCTGTAAATTTATAATATCTGTGTGTGAGTAATTTAGCTCTAATTCAATAAGCCAATCTGGAACTTATCTTTATGAGTGCCCGTTACACCTGAAAATGTACCTGGAGGTTTGATTTTCTCGAGTATATTACAAATTTTTTAAATAGAAAACACAACAGGGGGTATATTATTGTTTTGTAAATTTTACTGAAAATGTTAAAATGTCATTGAAATTTATTCTGAGTTTGTTCACTGCTCAGTATCTGTCATTTAACTCCTTATCTATTGATTTGATATTAGCATCCCCCTTTGTCAAGTGTCTCAGTGTAGGATAGCTTGTTATGACAAAGTTTGTAGGCCAGAGACATTTAATTATTAACCAAGGATCATAATCAGGTTAACCAAGTACATGGTTTGTATACTCCTAAGGGAGTTGAAACTCAAGTGCACACTAATCCATTGGGCCATGTCAAACTTTTCGCATGCCTAAGGATGAGGAGTTGGCACGATATGAAAATACTCATAATATGCACTCATGTTTGTTTTATCATGTTCGTTTTGAACACTTTTTGGGGCGGTGCGGTAGCCTAGTGGTTAAAACATTCACCTTTCAGTCGAAGACCCGGGTTCAATTCCCCACATGGGTACAATGTGTGAAGCCCATTTCTGGTGTTCCCCGTCGTGAAATATTGCTTGTATGAATATTTATTACTAAGATACAGTAATTATTACCTATGTATTTTTGAGCATCAAAAGTTGAATCTTTTGCTTCTGGTTAATTCTATGTTTTTTCATCCTTGTGCAGTGAATGAGAAGTTTCGCCAGCACCAGTATGAAACCATCACCGAGTTTGTTGCTGACTTCCGCCTGATGTTGGAGAACTGTTTCCGCTACAACGGCCCTGACCATTACGTTTCTAAACGTGGACAGCGACTGGAGACAATGTTGGAACAGAAGTTGGCGCTGTTGTCACGGTGAGACATGTGTTGTTGGTCTGGAATGGCAGAACTCTCAGTGAAGTTGTCATTCCAAATGGGAAAGGGGCAGTAGGGTAGCCTAGTGGTTAAAGCGATCCATCTTCACACCAGCTTCAATTCCCCATACGAGTACATTGTGTCAAACCCATTTCTGGTGTCCCCGGCCATGATATTGGTGGAGTATTGCTATCAGTCAATCAGTCAGCCAAACTGAAAAATATACTTAAATCACTGGTGTTTCTCAAGCTGTAACAGTAAGATGCACTGCCACAAATAGCCATACAATAACATTGTTACCATTGAATACACCTTGAAGGTCTATGTTAAACATCTCATCTACTATTTCATCTACTATGTTGTGATGTTTTACAGTTTATTAATTGATCATGTTGATACTGAAATCTCTTGTCTGTGTCAGCAAAAAGAAAGCTGATTCTTTTGGTATGAAGGCTCGGGTGGCGCAGTCACCAAAAGGGATGCTGTTTGTTGTGCAGAGTTATGTCCCTTAGCTATGTCAGAAACATATGATCATGGGTTCGAATCCCTGTTTCTAGGTCTGTCAGCATCATTCCCATGTTTATTGTTTTGCCCAAAGTGGCAAATATCTCCCCACTTAAAGCTTTCCTCACGTGTCTAGCTTGCAACCCATGATACAAGACAAATGCTGTTCAAAACAGTGTTAAAACCAAGTCACTCACTCTTTGTAATTTTCCCCAAACAGGTTGCTTTCTTGGTAAAATTGGAGCACAACATTGATGAAATCAGGTGTGAATTGTAAACTTATTGGAGTACAGTTCCTGCAAATAAATAGCATCAGTACTGTTCACTAGTGTTCACTCAATCATCTTTTATTCGACTATTTCATGTATAACTTTGCTTTCCCCAGTGATCTGCGAGAGAAGACCAGTATAGCAGCCACCTCTGGGGGAACCTCTGAAGAGTCCTTCTCAGCATCAGGTACGTGGACACTGTCATACCTGGACTTATCCTTAATGATTCATTATCCCCCGCAACGCGTTTTGCGGGGGATATTAAAATGGACTCTGTGCGTCAGTGCACATTTGTCATTTCCGGAGCAGAACTCTAAAACCGTTCAATATTTCTTCACCAAACTTGGCACATGAATAGATCTGGTGGTGTACTGGTGCCTTTTGGTAGTTTTGGTATTCTGAATAAAATATTTTTGGCGTTTCCATGGCAACAAGTTTGACTTAGCCTGAAATTGGTGGAAGTGCTCTTTTCCGGAGCTTAACTCTAAAACCGTTCACTATTTCTTCACCAAACTTGGCACATAGATTGGTTTAGTGGTGTACTGGTGCCTTTTGGTAGTTTTGGATTTCTGAATAAAATATCTTTGCATTTCCATGCCAACAAGTTTGACTTAGCCTGAAATTGGTGGTAGTGCTCCTTTCTGGAGCAGAACTTTTAAAACCTTTCGATACTCTCCTTCCACTTTTCTGTATACACACCAAAACATTTGACATAATCATAACTCGTAGATATATTCATGAAGAGTATTTTGCCATTGCGGGGGATATCGATGACTCTTCTTGTTGTATCTTAATTCTGATTAATAATGTGGTAGCCTCATGCTTAAAGTGTTTGCTTGTGGAGTCGTCAAAGATGTGGGTCCGATCTCCCGAAATAGGGACAATGTGTGAAGCCTGTCTCTGGTGTCCCCTGCAGTGATATTTGCTGAAATATTGCTAAAAGCATCGTAAAACCATACTGAACCATTCAATCGCTGTTGTCTAGGTCTCCGCCGCCGAATCAAAACCATCGTGCCACATGACTCATCAGCGCTGTTGAACCACCTGCGCGAGGAGGAAGTGAAACAGCAGAGGGAGCAACGTCGACAGCAGATCGCTGACCGCAAGGCGGCACAGGAGGCGTACCTCCACAACCTCCAGGAGTGGGAGGACCAACTGATGCAGGAGCCACTCAGGTCTCAGATGAAGGCCATGTGGGAGGTCAGTAGTTGTCCCCCTTGGTAAACATCAAAAGCAATCAGTTACTGATCAATTGTGTATTTAACTACCATACTTGGCTTTAGCACTCACAGTAATGATAACCATCACTTGTAATACCAACCGGTGGGTCATATCCTATATTGATGGAAACAAATAAGGGAACATATGAAAGTACACCTGTTCCTTTATGTATTTACAGATTTTCACCCACAGTGCAATACAAAGCATGCAAAGAAACCTGGAGATGAATGTAGGGACACTCTTTCATGTGTTCCCTTATTTGTTTCCATCAGTATAGTTGTTGAGGGGGGCAGTATTTCTTTATTCAGCCCATACACTTCTCAAAAGAAGTAAAGGATGACCTGAAGTTTCTGTATTTCTATTGTTAATGTGTCTTGGCATCATTGTTCCCCGCCGCAACGCGGAACGGGGGACTATGTATTCAGCAGTGTACGTACGTCTTGATTCTTATTAACACGATATCTCATGAACTGTTGTACCCAATGTCTTCAAATTTGGTGACACCATACATTGGGGGATTATGCAGACATCAGTCGATTTTGGTGACCTTGACCTTATCTTCAAGGTCCCCACGACACTTTGAATGCTTTTGAAACTTATGTAAACGCGATATCTCATAAAACATTGCATCCAATGTCTTCAATTATGTTGACAGCCTACTTTGGGTGATTATGCAGACTCCAGTCATTTCAGGCATCTTGTAGGTGACCCCAAAATATAAAGCAGTAAATATGCCATATTAGTGGCAAACACTTGTTCTTTCTTGATTCTAACCTGATTTATTCAATTGCAAACCTTAATCTTCCCTGCAATGACAAAGTAACTATAGTTGTGTAAAAAAGACTAAACCTTTTTTGAGAAGTACTGGTATAACAAAACACCAAAACATTTTTTCATGAGATTCAACATTTACTATTTTGTTGTAAAGATGGGGACAATTATTATTTCGATATTTTCAGGGATGGATTATTTTTCCCCAAATGGTTGGCACCAACATGTGTTCCTCTTTTATTATCCCGCGCAACAAGGAAGTTGCAGGGGACCGTCTGTGCGTCCGTCACACTTTGTCCGAAGCATATGTCCAAACTATTGGTGATATCTTAACCAAACTTGGTACACATATCAACCATTATCCATAGATGTGCCGTTTGGGGGTTAGACCCAGATGGGAATTTTATTTTTTGCGGTTTCCATGGAAACATGACTTAGGCTGTGACTATGAGGATGTCATCTTGTCCGGAACAGATCTTCCAAACTATACATGCTAGCTTCATCAGACTTGGTACACATATCAAGCATGATCCCTAGATGTGCCTTTTGGGGGTTAGACCCAGATATGAATTTTATTTTTGGCTGTTTCCATGGAAACATGACTTATGCTGTGACTATGAGGATGTCATCTTGTCCGGAGCAGATCTCCTAAACTATACATGCTAGCTTCATCAGACTTGGTACACATATCAAGCATGATCCCTAGATGTGCCTTTTGGGTTAGACCCAGATATGAATTGTATTTTTTGTGGTTTCCATGGAAACATGAGTTAGGCTGTGACTATGAGGATGTCATCTTGTTGCATTTTCCATGGCAACAAGTTAGGCTTCAACTGAATTTGGTGGTAGTGCTCCTTTCTGGAGCAGATCTTAAAACCTTTCAATAGTCTCCTTCCAGTTTGCTGTATACACTCCAAAACATTGACATAATCATAATTAGTAGACATATTCATAAAGAGTATTTTGCCGTTGCGGGGGATATTGATGACTTTGTCTTCTTGTTAAAAGTTGTGTTCCTTGTTTGAAGCAGTATTTTAATTTAGTTCTGATGAGAATCTTATGTAGAAGGCTCATATGATGTTCTGTTGTAGTCTCTGATTCCTGCTATTAGTCACTTCCTGTGTCTGTGTCAAGACCCGATGGGAATCTTATGTAGAAGGCTTTAACACCATGTTCTGTTCTGGTCTCAGATTCCTGCTATCGGTCACTTCCTGTTCCTGTGTCAAGAGCCGCTGAACTTAGAGGAGGTGGCCCACTATGAACTGGAGTGCAGCTTTCTCATGCCCAGACAGAGCTCCACTATGCAGAGGATCATGTCCTCCCTGCTCTCTACACCCTTCCAGAGGACTAAGTAAGTGTGTCCTCTTTCTCAGTACCCTTCCAGAGGACTAACAGAGTATGTTGAGAAATGTGACTCTAAGCTTTTTGGACATGATGGGCAACAGGTTAAAGAGCACACACTGCATTGTTGCACGCAGTGTTTTCTTAGGTACTTCATTTGCATACCGTATATTACCGAGGTCCTAACTTGACCCTTAAAATCAGCATTAAAATGGTTTGTTCCGTAGATAAGCCGAATTCCTGTCGTTTCACGATCTGGTAATAAAACATGTTCTTTGCATATCTGGAATTATGTTTGCAATCTCATGTATCAATTTTATTCAAAATGTCATTCAAGAATGTTTATATTAACTACTGATGAAATTGTGTGTCCCTCTGATAGTGATAACTTCAGTCCACATTGTTCACAGCAATCACAATCGTATACATTGATCGTGATACAAATTAAATTTATCATCAATAACACTATCAGCTATATGATAATAATACTTATGACTGTGTGGCTCAACATCCATTCCCTTACTCACTCAGTGACCTTGCCCTTGATTTAGACAAGGCTGATAATTGACCCATAAGGCTGTAGCCTTCATCAGTATGAAGTCATACACTTTAATAACAAATGTCTTAGTTCATGTCATTATAAGTAATGTTATCACTAGGCAGAGATGACTAATTCACTGGCATCAGGGCCAAACATAGGACATAGGTTTATTAAGTAGTTTTGCATAATGACATTGGAAAGAATTATAAATGAATCTTTAGCAAGCCCAGTTTTCCTGCAAAGGGTATTTAGTTTGGAATCGTGGATATGCCCCTGACCTGCATCGTTTAATCCCTGGTATTTGCCCTGACTGTTCCAGACTGGACAAGAGGACTATGATGCCGTACTGTGTGTGGGAGGAGAAACTCAGGAAGAGAGTAGCTTCTTGGTACAAGGTGCAAGATGACAATCACGGAAATGCTTATAAAGTAAGTCGTCGGAGTCAGAGGCATGTCCAGGAGTGAGTGTGATTGAACTGAGTTTTATGCCGCACTCAAACAATATTCCAGCTATATGGAAATAATGGAGTCTGGACCAGACAATCCAGTGATCAACAGCATGAGCAGTGATCTACGCAATTGGGATGACATGTGTCAACCAAGACAGTGAGCCCGATGCCGTTAGTCACCTCTTACGACAAGCATGGGTTACTGAAGTTCAGTTCTAACCATGATCTTCACGGGTTGCATGTCCAGGATCCTCTATTGACTCAAGTAGGATTCCTGATAGTGGGAACACATATGAAGCCAAATTTTGGTGTCCATCAATTGTCTGAAATATTGCTAGTGTAAAATCATACAGTTATAGAAACTAAACCCTGTCAGTCATTTGTCCCTATACAGATATAGGATTATTTTCAGTAACTACTGGTGAGGGTACTTTAGCTGTTGAGATTTTGGATGTGGATTACTGTTTTATGGGTTTAGAGTCATCTTTTGAAAATGTCTTTTCCCGTAGTTCCTGGGTTAGAAAATGTCTTGGGAATTCAAGGGGATTCTGCTTTCAGCTTAGTTCTTCACAACCTATGCTAGATGTAACAAGCAACTGAATGGAACTGTCAAACTAGGTGTAACATAGCTGGATAAATACTTAGAAATTGTACTGTACCCAAATTGTACCTGTTACACATTTTAATGAAACAATCATTCACTTTGCAGGCTGCTTACAAGCTGGGCCTAGATGTTCACTTCTTTAATGTTGTAGGTAAGTACATGTAATGCGGGGGGGATATAGTCGACACCTCGTCCATCCGTCCGTAATCATTTTGTTTCCAGAGCATAACTCAAAAACCGATCAATATTTTTCAACAAAACTTGGTAGATATATCAAACAGAACCTTAAGTGGTGCCTTTTGCTATTTGCAGATTTTTGGCATTTTTATTTTTCCCGGTTTCCATGGAAACGATTTGGACTTAGTCCCAAAAAGGGAGGGTAGGTTTCGTTTCCAGAGCACAACTCGAAAACTTCTTATTATCTTTCAGCAAAACGTGACAGATATGTGAGGCAGATCCCAAAGTGGTGCCTTCTGCTATTTGGCCTATTTTGGCATATTTATTTTTCCCGGTTTTCATGGAAACGATTAGGACTTAGTCCCAAAGGGGAGGAGTGGGCTTCATTTCCGGTGCATAACTCAAGAACCTTTCAATATTTTTCAACAAAACTTGGCAGATATATTAGGCAAATTTTGAAATGGTGCCTTTTGCTATTTACAGATTTTTGGCATTTATATTTCTCATGATTTCCATGGAAACGATTTGGACTTAGTTAAAAAAAAGTCAAGCTGGACTTTAAGTAACTGTCAGATGATTTGTTCTTTCAAATATATGGGGGCCGGGGGAAATGTCATCTTCTGATGACTCTTGTTGTCATTAAAAAGACAATTTGTATTGATACATCACAGACTATTTTCCAAGTACGACATTTGACATGTTATAGAATGGCTGAAATATTTTCAGTTTCTAAATTTTGCTTTAAGGTTGTTACTAGCTTTATTTTCTATTTCTTGGAATTGGGTCGGACACAATTAACCTACCTCTTAGCCCCTGTATATTTCTTTTGACCAAGTTATCAACCCAACTCTGGTAAAGTTGTCAATGCTTGTCTTAGTACTCAACAGGATCAGTGATGTAGCCTTGTCATTGAAGCATTCACTTGTTACACTGAAGAGTTGGGTTCGATTAATCACATGGGTACCATATGTGAAGCCTATTTCTGGTGTCACTACTGTGATATTGCTGGAATATTTCTAAAATCATGTAAAACTGTACTCGCTTGGTGGGCATTTATTGATGAAGCCAGTGTGTGACCTAACTACATGAATAGTTGCTTATGTAATCAGCCATTGTTTTGCATGACTCCTGGTACAATTACTGATACTCCAACCAGATATTGCTGGAATACAGCTTGAAGCAGCATTCAAACCCTCCCTAGTGTATATTTTGAATGTCATGCATTGCTATAATCATTTCTGTTTATTTTTCAGGAAAAAAAGACCCTCTAATGAAAAAAGAGTTTCCATGAACTGTCATTTTATCGGAAAGTGTGGATTGTGAAAAGCTTGTGTGACAACTGTATGGTGAGTGTGGAGTCACCCATGTCATATCTTATGCACATCCTACCCGTGAAAATCCGGGTTAGATTATTGATCTTCAGTAACCCATGCTTGTCGTAAGAGGCGACTAACGGGATCGGGTGGTCAGGCTCGCTGACTTTGTTAACACATGTCATCGGTTCCCAATTGCGCAGATCGATGCTCATGCTGTTGATCACTGGATTGTCTGGTCCAGATTCGATTATTTACAGGCCGCCATACAGCTAGAATATTGCTGAGTGCGGCGTAAAACTAAAGACACTCACTCTTATGCACATCCACCTGTGCAAATCCTGGTTAGAATTAGAATTGGTCTTCAGCAACCCATGCTTGTTGTAAGAGGAAACTAACAGGAAAGACAATTCTTTAGTGCTTTATTGTACGTGGTAAATACAATACTACAGGGAATTGTCATATTTAAGTTCCAGGCTTAATAATAAAAAGTGCCCCCTTTGGTCACCAAATTATAGAACTATAGCAGTCAACTGCACTTGTTTGCTTCACTGGCGTTCTCTAAAGTCAAAACATTTATCACACTCAAAGAGTTCTGGAATATGTCCAAATGTAATATTTCCAATTTGATATTTCTGTCTTAAGTATCTGATCTGTCTCTGGACTCGAGTCCATATGGATTGCACTAGGAACATTGTATATACCAACGTTTGCCACGTGCTTTTGCCAAGGGACATCACTGCCAACAATAACATTAAATATCTTCATTGAGGCTCATGGGCCTAATATTTAGGAATGTATCCTGATTTTTAGGCCAAAGGGCGTATTTCCACTGAGGCCTAAATGCAGGAAATCCCAATAACATACCTCTGAACTGAAGTAAATAATTTTCACAGAATTCCCAAGTTTGAACAAAGTAAGGTTTTTGTTCTCCAAATTTGCCTGTGAAGGGCAGTGAGCTAGGAATCCATGTCACAATGTATACACACTTGGAAGGCAGAAATGAATTGAAGAAATGGTTTTGTGTGTAAATGTAACAATTATATATGAGGTAAGGGGAGATAATCACCAAACACTCTTCAGATGGACATTGTTGTTTCCCTTTGACCTGTCACTTCTCTGAATCTCCATGACAATGGCACATAAAAGGCTGGCATTTAGAAATGATACACATAAAGGAAGAAACTTTGTAGATGTCCACCTCTTTATTTCTTTTTCATATTATATCCAACGTATTGTTGTCAATAACAACATTACAACAGCGTAAAGCATGGGATTAAGGTATGTTAAGGGTCGATCTCCAACCTAACGTTTACAGCAAATGTTGGTAAAATATCCCTGTTTGAATAATAACTTTCAGTTAGTCGATTTTATGCTTTACCTGAATTTTCACCTTGTCCTCCACTGGCCTCCTTTTAGAGAGGTCTGACAAATAAGTTGTGTATCATCATATCACTATTCCATAATAATATGATTTACATGCTGGCTTTAGTATAATAAATTCTGTTTCTGAAGTACCCAGTACTCACTACCAGTGGGGTTTGGTTGATATCATGCCATTATACACAACCCATGAAGATTTGGGTTAGAGAATTGGTCTTCAGTAACCCATGCTTGTCGTAAGCGGCAACTAAAGAGATCGTATGGTCAGGCTGACTTGGTTGACACATGTCATCGTATCCCAATTGCATAGATCGATGCTCATGCTGATGACTAGACTGTCTGGTCCAGACTGGATTATTTACAGACCGCTGCCCTATAGCTGGAATACTACTGAGTGCGATGTTAAACCAACCAGCCATTATACACTGATGGAATGAATTGCTGCTTGCACTATCAGTCACTGGGTTGTCTACTCCAGACTGGATTATTTACAGACTGCAGCCCTATAGCTGGAATACTTCTGAGTGCGATGTTAAACCAACCAGCCATTATACACTGATGGAATGAATTGCTGTTTGCACTATCAGTCACTGGGTTGTCTACTCCAGACTGGATTATTTACAGACTGCTGCCATATAGCTGGAATACTTCTGAGTGCAATGTTAAACCAACCAGCCAACCAGCCATTATACACTGATGGAATGAATTGCTGCTTGCACTATCAGTCACTGGGTTGTCTACTCCAGACTGGAATATTTACATGCCAGTGTTATACAGCTGGAATACTGGCAGGTGTTGTGCTAACCATCAAATACATCTATACTTCCTTCACACATTTAAACTACTTTTTCCTGTGTAGGAGACACAAGAGTCTCTCCGTGATGCAATCGAGGCCCAGCCTGTTGAGGAGCAGCGGAGCTACACTCTGGGCGAGGATGCCAAGGGTAACACGTATATCCACTTCCCTCAGTTCTGTGGGGCGGACCTGCGCGTGTACCGACAAGACCCGTTCCCTGAACCGGAGATGGAAAGTGATGAGGAAGAAGGGGAGGAATCCAAGGTAGGATGTGTTTGCAATTGTGTGTTATTGACATAAATAATTTTTCAAAGGGAAAAATAAACCTCTTTTTTGTTAAAGCCAATAAAGGAGTCTGATTTGAATTTCCTTTTTAAATTAGTCTCTAGCACCCAATGCTTATCAAGAAACATTAAGGATGAAAGCCTTGTTTCCCAGTAGGATGATTGCAACTTCCATACCTTACCTTTTACTAGTAGATTAAAGATCATTTTGTGGTAAAAGTGTGTCACATGGCTGACCTTGTGTTCACAGCATTGTGCTAAAATACGAGATTCTTGTAATGCTTCAACTATCAATGTGGTGTCTGTGTTATTTCATTTCACCATGACATAGCAAGGGTGGTTCTATTTGCAGACTTTTGGCATTTTTATTTTTCATGATTTCCATGGAAACGATTCAGACTTAGTCTAAAAAAAATCAAGCTGGACTAAGTAACTGTCAGATGATTTGGTCTTTCAAATATGTGGGGGCCGGAGGGGATATGTCATCTTCTGACGACTCTTGTTATTTTTCATGATTTCCATGGAAACTTTTTGGACTTTTTTATTTACAGATTTTTGTCTTTTTTATTTTTCTCAGTTTCCATGGAAACGATTTATATTTTTTCTCAAAAGGAACGGGTTGGTTTCGTTTCTAGAGCATAACTCGAAAACCGTTCAATATCTTTCAACAAAACTTGGTAGATATATCAAACAGAACCTAAAGTGGTACTTTTATTTTTGTTGTTTTTATTTTTCATGACTTCCATGGAAACATGTGGGACTTTGTCTCCAAAGGGAGGTTGTGGTTTTTTTTGTTTCCGGAGCATAACTCGAAAACCATTCAATATGTTTCAGCAAAAATTTGTAGATATATCATACAGAATCTCAAGTGGTGCCTTTTGCTATTTGCAGGTTTTTGGCATTTTTATTTTTCTTGGTTTTCATGGAAACGTTTCGGACTTAGACACAAAAGTTAGGGGTGGGCTTCATTTCCAGGGCACAACTCCAAAACCTTTCAATATCTTTCAAAAGGCTCAGCAGACATATCAAACAGATCTTGAAGTGGTGCCTTTTGTTATTTACAGATTTTTGGCATTTATACTTTTCATGATTTTTCCTTATCCTGACTCATGCTTAATGCTTGTCTCCTTCCTCTTGCGAAAGTTAGTGGAACACTTGTATCTCCTATTGAAGCTCCCTTCAATAAAGAACAGACGTAAAATCACTCCTCCCAAGAGTTATCTCTCCAGCTGTTTAGTCGGGAAACTGTGGCGCCGCCGTCCCCACATGCCTCACTCTTTCCTTCTTCGCCCTGTGGGTAGGTTGTGAGGACGCCTGTGTCTCCTATACGGCACTATATCCTTTAATTACTTAGTTATTCTCCTCTATTCTACTTTTATAGAGGTTTAGTCAGTATTCTTCAACAATATGGTTTGATATTTAATCGTATTTAGCCCTGTTTATTCACGAAATTGTCCGTGTTTGTTCAGTTGTTTACATTTAATGAAAACCTATTTTCGTTGTAGGTTTAGGTTCGCTGCTGCAAACCTGTATTGACTGTGCCCTAGCTGCACAACAACATGTACTTCCAGCTATAGCTATAATCTTTATCAGCATTTAATAGAAATTCAATTTAATAAATAATTTTTCTCTGTACTTAGATGTACTACCGACAAATCCAGGTGACTTCCAAGTCATGGATAAACTGGCTGAGTCCCTCACGAGCTGTCTACTGCTGTTAGACGACTTACTACCATCAAGTGACCTGCCAGAGGTGTCCTCGGGAGGCGTGGGATGTTGTCCGCCATTACTTCAAAGACGTTGGCTTCTACATCGGACAACCCCTCAACGCAGACGTAGAAGAAGAAGCCATCCTCTACGCAGAATGAAGCCTCACAGACATCATCCCGATGGCAGTGAGATGACGTCATGATGAGCCGCTGCTGATCATCCCAGAGATACAGCACGTAGTTCGAGGGCGACAGATGAGCGATCCCTGGACCATATCGCTATCAACGCAGAGAGGGCAGCGCTACAATCATCGCAGAAGATGAATAGAAGCCATCCTCTACCCAGAGAAGGCTACACACCCCTCAGATGACGACCACCTGTATGGGGACGTCTGCGCAGACTACAAGGACTTTCTCTGCCGAGATTGTCTCGATGACGGAACAGGGACTCTACGATGATCAACCGATCATCATCCCAGAGGTTCATCCCAAGAAACGACCGGGTCTCAGCTAAGGTGACGTCAGCGCAGATCTCTACTCAACCCGAGGTATCAACGTTGACAACAGATGACCGTCCAGTGGGCCCCGTCGCTATTACTGCAGAAAGGGCAGCGATCATGGACGATCAGCATTCGCGAAGGCGTTCGCGAAGGACCAGTCGCCATTCCCCAGATGCGGAATCAGATGTTCAGCGTTCGCGAAGGCATTCGCGAAGGAGGAATCACCCATCCCCGGATACAGAATCGGACGACCAGCGTTCGCGAAAGGCGTTCGAGAAGGACAAGTCGCCATTCCCCCAGATGTGGAATCAGATGATCAGCGTTCGCGAAAGGCATTCGCGAAGGACTTCCGATACAGTATCCAAGACAGCTTCCGCATCATGCAGATCGTCGAGGGATTCGCCGAGACATTCGCGAACCCACAGTCGCTCATCTCCGCGCAGGTCACCCTACAGACGCAGTTCGCCGGGCCACTCCCCACGCCGATCTCCGGGCAGGTCTCCACGAAGGTCCTCACGCAGGTCTCAACGCAGGTCTCTACGCAGGTCTCCACGCAGATCCCCAGCGAAGCAGAGACATCGCAGTACTTAGTCTCTCAACTGAACGCTACATGCCGTCAACAAGCCTGTGCGAAGGCATTCACGCAGGCCATCTACAACGCAGAGACGCCGCAGTACTTAGATTCTCAACAGAACGCTACATGTCGTCTACAACTTGTGCGAAGGACGGCGCTATCTTCAGAGACTGTCAACAGATGATGAGCCTAATAAAGGATCTTCAGGCCGACTACCTACGTCAAGGGCATCAACGACGCCTCGCAGATCATCACGGGAATCACCATAAAGGGCGACGGCATTATCTTCAGGACTGAAGTAACAGTCACAGCAGCCAGGAAAACAGCCTACCCACATCGGTATTATGCGGCGAAATATTTCGCGCCATTCAACCCTCGATACACGTGGTCACTCGTGTATCTTCAGAAGGCTACGGACAAGACCGACAATTGATCAGATATCAACGGCGGCACTAAATTCTACAAGGACCTTTTTCCTGCTACACCGGTGACGTCACAGCGCGGCAAGCCAAAGGAATCAAAATGCTTTATTTTGATTGGACCACGAGAGACAACGCCCTACGCAGAGGTCGGACGTAGTTCACAGGTCAAGAAATGGGTTACAAGTGACAACAACATGTCAGTGAGCAAGGAAGGCCTCAATTACAGTCCAGTTAGACGGGACCTGCGTGATTTGGCTGCCTTCATGAGGTTACAGACCTTCCCTGTCAACATTGAAGACGATTCATCAGACGAATTGCAGCAACATAAGTTGGCCGGACTAAGGTGGCGGCAGCCAGGCGACTTTATATAGATTTCCCAAAGATGGCAGTCACAGAGTCAGACATCGCTTCATTTCCCTTACGGACACAGCAAGGGTTTCAAGATCCTAGGAGATAGATACAAGTCCTTGTATCTCAAGCACTACTCTCTCCGTTATTACTACGAAGTGGCAGAGTCTGTTGGTTCTTCTCATGTCAGCACAAGACATGACACGCAGAGGGAGTCTACAACTACGCCCATTACAGGTCTTCGTGAATGTACAACTGAACGATCTGGACCCCTTCGGACTCCCGGACAGATTAAATCCATATCTAATATGGTGGACTCAGAGATAGGAAGGTCGCAGACACACCTATTTAGCAGAGCCGGAGTACAAGACGCATCTCTATGTGGACGCATCTCTCTAAGATTGGGGAGCACACCTCGACAACGATGTGTCAGCTGGGATATGGACCATAGCAGAGAAGATCTGCACTTCCACATGCTGGAAATGAAAGCAGTGATAAACGCCATACTCCACTGGACCAGCATTTGAAGAATGCTCATCTGACGGTACATACAGACAACTCCACAGTGGTGTTCTACATAAACAGAAGGATCAACAAGGTCGGTGAACCTTCTGGACCTCTGCTTTCAACTGGCCAGCATAACAGTCAACCTGAATGTCCACATCAGAGTATGCCACATTCCAAGAGCCAAGAATGTGATAGCAGATACACTATCCTGTCCAACGCAGCCATTCTCAACAGGCTGGATGCTACATTCAGAGATCTTCAAGCAGATCATACAAGTGATGGGAGCACCATTAATAGACCTCTTCGCCACAAGGGTCAACTGATAACATTCGTCTCACGTTTCCACCACCAGCTCTAATACCGAGGGTGTTGCAGAAAATCAGTCAGGCGAGAGACCCACAACTACTTGGGGCGCGCCTTATTGGCCAGCGAGAATATGGTTCCCTATTCTCATACAAGAACTAGGACTGCCTCAACTGCAACTACCAGATGTGGACGAATCTACTAGTACATCCTCACACAAAGCAGGCGCATGGCAACCCAGAGGTGTTCCGGCATGCTTGAACAAGAGAGGATATTTCGCCAGGGCACCTTTGTCACCTAGACAAAGGAAGCGGTTAAAAGGGTCAACTCTCTCAACATACCTAGCGGCATTGAGCTCAGTTATCGCCATGAGGACGAGTGCAACTGACAAAAGTACCAGAGTACTGGCCTCACTACGCCCTTTTAATTGGAGGACCAACATCAGAGATTTAAAGCTCCGGCGTGGGACCTAAACATAGTTCTACGACATCTCACCAGTGACGTCTACGAACCATTAGATAGGACATCTTTTGAGTTCTTGACGCAGAAGATGCTGTTCCTGATCGCCTTAGTAACAGCAGCAAGGATGTCGGAAATACATGCTCTGGACTTTGAGAGAACACGATTTGATGCAAATCAAAACATGGTGCATATGGGACTGAGATGGGACTTCATAGCAACGAATCAACTGCCAGGTCATCCAGACAGACAGTTCCACGTCCCAACACTATCATCAGTCCTTGGACCACAGGATACGCAGGTCTTATCCTTGTGCCCAGTGAGAGCGTTGAAAGTCTACCTACAATGATCCAGGTCCATGAGACGGAAATTCAAGTGTCTTTTCGTCTCGATATCAACAGCAACACAGACGGAGGTCTTCCGCACTAAGATATCAATCTGAATCAGTACGGTCATACTACGGGCCTACAAAGCAGCAGGACTGGAGCCTCCAACCCACATGAAGTTAGAACTCTGGCGTCTACGCTCGCTCTACATGGGAATCGCTCTATCAGGACGATAATGGAGGGCTGCTTCTGGAAATGGGACATGGTGTTTGCCAACCACTACCTGAGGGACATCGCCACTGAGGACGGCTCTGACATTCACCATTTCGGCCTACTTGTTGTAGCACAACAATTGACAGTCCCACAAAGGCTCTGAGACGGAGTCTCGCCCTTTTATCACATGACTTACAAAGCCTACAAAGAGAGTTTTGCTTGAAGTCTAAATGCACGTCTAGGACAGACTAGCATAAGTGATATGACCCAGTACTTGTAAGGATACTTGTACAGGAATGGGTCGCTTCTCCACTTGGTGCTGGCATCAAGAGATGGAGTTGCAAAATCCACATAAAATGTTAACAGAAGAAAGGACCAAAAGTTAACAATTGTGGTCCCCCCCATCTAAAGGCAGCTGGAAGGACAGGGTCGCAGCAGCAGCAGCAGCAGCAGCAGCAGAGTTAGCAGTTATATACAGTGCCAACATGAAGTTCCCATAGGGGGGTATAGAGGACGTAAATCACTACATGAAATCCAAAGTAACTTGCCCGCCGCCATTCCGTCGGATTCTACAAGCATTAAGCATGAGTCAGGATAAGGAAAAATATGTAATTTTCTGTATAAAATTGATATTTTTATACTTATCCTGACTCATGAGGTAAGCCCACCCAGCCTCCCCACTAGACTCTTTGGATTTCCCTGCAAATTCAAGTGTCGGGCTCATAATCAGGAGAGAGTGAGGCATGTGGGGACGGTGGCGCCACAGTTTCCCGCCTAAACAGCTGGAGAGATAACTCTTGGGAGGAGTGATTTTACGTTGTTCTTTATTGAAGGGAGCTTCAATAGGAGATACAAGTGTTCCACTAACTTTCGCAAGAGGAAGGAGACAAGCAAAAAGCATGAGTCAGGATAAGTATAAAAATATCAATTTTATTCAGAAAATTACATATTTCCATGGAAATGACTAAGTCTAAAAAACATCAAGTTGGACTTTAAGTAACTGTCAGATGATTTGTTCTTTCAAATATGTTGGGGGCCGGGGTAATCTTCTGATGACTCTTGTTTAAATAAACTTTTGCCGAATATGAGAATTCAGTGTTAAAGTTCCTCAGCCATGTCAGAGTTTGGTGTAAAGAAACACTTCTAGTTCTACATATGCTGTATCAGTATTCATTTAAAAAGACTATAATAAAAATATAAATATTCACCTTTATGTTGTCATTTTATACTTCTTTGTCACACAGTACCACAAGGGTATATATAGTTTTGATGTGAAATGCTATGTGTTACGATAGGGTGCTCGCTGCGAATAGCTGTAATATTGCTGATGCGGCGTAAAGCACTAATTATTCATTCAATATGATATGGCGGGTGGTTTTGCAAGAAAACACAGGCTTTAGGACATTATTATGTTTGTATTAACTTCAGATAGGACGTTTGTATATATCATTACCATAACTGAACAAAATCTTTAGACCATTCTGGATGACGAACAGTCGTTTCATTACATTTCAATATGAAATCATTTTTGTTGACCTTCTGATCAGTCTTGAGCAGTTTGTTTATGACAAGGTCTGTCAATTTCAGTGTGTGTCTCAGCAGAGCGAGGAGGAAGAAACGGAGACACCGCCTGTAAAGAAGAGGCGAGTTGATGGCAGCAGGAGTGCAGCAAGAGGAAGTGCTAGAAAGGTAGGTCTACTGGAAGTGCCATATGGTACACATTTTGCATCAGTTTGTGCTTTACTGTGATGATTTGAAGTCCACATGAACCTTTGTTCTTGTGTAGTGCTATGCCACAGACAACTAGGTTTCCATTCATTATCAGTATAGGTCTTTGTAATATTCTATTCAAAATTTGTGTGGACCAAACCTTTGACCACATGACCATTTTTCTGAAACTTCTACAATGTTCCTCCTTTGCTAAGATATCATTGCTTTGGACAGCCGTTGCACTGTAACCTATCCAATTCTGTGTGTGCCCAAGCATCATTGGTCGAAGTAACTCCTTTATCTCTGATCCTAACGTTGACCAATTCAACAGTTTGTCAAAGACGGGCTACTCCATACTTCAACATTAACTGTCAAGCTTTAAAATAGCTTTGTTAAAATTCTTTGATGACATTTCACACTAACATCTAAGCCTTTCTCTGATTTGGCTCTGTTTCTTGAGCTGCAGTCACTTTCTTTTTAATTCATTTTACTTGTCTTAATTCAATTGTCGCTTGTCCCATCCAAATATTTATCTTTAATCAAGCTGACATTTCTTGTTTAGGCTGGTGTCGGACGTCCAAGCCGGAGATCAGCAAGGTTACCAGACACAGACGACACAGAGCCAGACAACACGCCAAGCGAGATCAGCACTGAGCCAGGGTCAAGGTCACTGACTGCCACTCCAGAGATTGAGGAAATGGAGGATGAATGTCTTTATTCACGAAGGACACGTTCGGGAAGAAGTTCTCGGAAAAGCCTTTATCGGAATGGGATCACAAGAGAGCTCGAACGGGCCCTACGCAAAATCGGACGCAGCAAAGTCGAGGACAGAGGAAGTGAAGAACGAGAGGAGAGTGTCGCCAGTGATTCAGAACGAGATGATGTCGGTACTACAGATAGTAATCATAACAATAACAATTGTGCAAGTCAGCCAGACGAACAAGATTCATTAGACTGTGCCCCATCTGGAGGCCGGAGTAAAGGCAGTTCTGTGGAAAGGGGGAGTAATGGAGCGTCTCGAACTGATTCTCCAAGTTTGATTTGTGAGTCGAAGCAAAATGGTGATAATAAAAACATAATAAAATATGAGGATGAGAAGTGTGATGTAAATAGTGTGGATGTGAAGGCGGAGAAATGTGAGACTGATGTAACAGACAGTGATGGTGGCATGCAGTGTAATGGACGGACATGTGACACGTCAGACGACAGCAAGAGTGCAATAGTCAATGGTGATATTCCTAGTGACGGCAGTGCCAAGGATGGAGCTGCTGTTGCGGAACATCTGGAAGGGCAGGGTGGTTCTCAGGGAAATGGAGTAAAGAGAGAGGTCAAAACAAAGATTCACGAAGACGAGAAAGTCCTGTGGGACGATCAGAAATCTGACTCTAGTGCTCAAAATGTTCATGGTGCTGATAACTCTACAGATTGTAAAAGTGATATTAAATGTAACATCGATGCAGTGAAATCTGAAAGTGATGTAGGAGGGAATGGTAAGGACTGTTCCACGGAGACTGGCAAAGACGATGACAAGCTTGTAAAGGATTCTGAGGCCAAGATGGAGAGTAGTTCTGTGGTGAACACAGAATCAGCACAGGATGACAAGGAAGGCGGAGGATCTGTGAAAGAGGAGACCAAGCCATCAGAGTCATCGGAGAAAAATGTTGACATGGATAAAGCAAACATAGATGAGGAAGAGGAGGAAGAAGTAGAAATAGTAAGGAATTTAGTAGTAGCATACTAATCAGTTAAAACCAGTAACAGCAATTTCATCTATTTGATTTTAGGAATTTAGTAGAAGCATATTAACCAGTTAAACCTAGTTAAACCTAGTTAATGGGAATGTCATCAATTTGATGTATTATTCATGTTACAATTTCTATTTTACTCCTAAAATTACTTTGTAACACTGGGGTTAAGGAGAACAGACATACTGTCCAGCTGAGCTGTTACTCATGCTAATACAGTGCCTGAGTAGGGCCATGGGGGATCTAGGTGCTGCTATTAGTGGTGTGGATGTTGCTTGCCTGAAACCTTTGATCGAGGGTTGGATTCTAGATTAATTGCTTTTTGTTAGTTTTCTTTGAGTTTTTAATGCTGCACTAGGTAATTATCCAGTTATTTGGCAGCGGTCTGTAAATCTGGGCCAGACAATCAGACAGTGATCTACAGCATAAGCATCGATCAAATAATTGGATACGATGACATGTGTCAACCAAGTCAGAGAGCCTGACCACCTGATCCTGTTAGTCGCCTCTTACGACAAGCGTGGGCTGCTGAAGACCAATTCTATTCCAGATCTTGACAGTGTTTTTGTTTTAAGGGATTAGTAATGGATGATATATATTTGTCACTGCAGCTGCCCGATATTGGATCTTTTGAGTTGATGGCAGACAGCGTGGAAGATCTACGTCTTCTGGCGGAGAAGTTTGCTGAGCAGCCTGAGCCACCGATTGTCAGCACACGGGGAAAGAAGCAAAAGGTAAAGTGGAGTTTAAAATATACAGATTGGGCCTCCTCTGTAGCAGTAGTACGCTATTGGCCTCTCCTATCCAGACGTTTTACCAGCTTCATCAGTTCCCTGCTGCAGCATTATCTGAGACCGACATTAACACAAAACATGACGCCATTGTACAGATGGAAACCCCCTGGAAAATATGTTGACACTATTTTTAACCGAAATGAAAGTTCGTCACTGAAAACCTTGATGTACAAAACGCTGACTGACTGTGACAATGTTGTGTGTTGTAGTCCAAGCCCCCACCCAGAAAGCGATGTGAAGTAGACCTCCATGCTCGACTCCTGTACCTGCTGAAGGAACTGGAACCCTGGGAAACCAAACTGCTCCAGGCCAGACGGAAAGCTCGGGTCAAGATTAGGAAAGAGCTGGATGAATTTAAGGAAGAGGAGGTCAAGAAACAGGTGAGGTGGTAGTGCTGGTTATCATGGGGGTGATATGGAAACTGAATGCTGACATTCCACTAAAGTGTAATGAATTAATTTCTTAAATTGAACACGTTTACTGTTGTCTACCCACTGAAATTGTCATCCTGATTTGCTGAAACGAGGATCAATGATATAATGTTCCTGGCTTCCATTACAAAACATACAGAAGCATTGTTTCACATCATTTAGACACCTGTAATTTGAACTCAGCCTTTTAGTTTGCTCAGACGTTTGACTGTATGCCCAGGCATGAATATCCATGCTATGACCCATCCCAGTCGATACACCAGGTAGATATGGCATATAGTTGTCAAGATCATGTGTGTACACATCTTTTGAGGTATAAAATATTGATGTAAAAATATTGATAAAAACATCTTGATTGCATTTATATACTAGAAATGACAAGTGACTTAGTCTTATGCAATGTTTGGCCCTTCTTGTCCAGTGAACTCAAACAAAAAGAACATCAATGCTTAAATGTTTCTAAAAGATGCCGGGAAATATCTGAGATAAAAAATCTATATGGGTGGTGCTTAATCTTTTTCCAGATGTATGTGTTTAAAACTAAATCATTTGATGGTAGGGACCTTGTTTTTTGTAGGATGTGGAAAGTTGGAATACTGAGGAATCCTCCGTCTCATCCAGTGAGGACACAGATGCTGAGGATGCTGGGAAGGAAGACCAGTTGGAGGTGAAGGTAAAAAAATCAATCTTCGCCCCAACACCAATTTCAACTGACAGCCGAGACAGCATGGCTGGCAATGCTGAGGAGGAATATGAATTGGATGTTAGTTCTCGAGGGCGTCTACGCAAACGGAGAGTTATACCCAATAATATCGAAGACCAGGGAATCAAGAAGAAGAAAGTCAGTAAGCCAGGAGAAGAGCCCAATTCTCCAGCCCACATGCCGAACATTCTCCAGAAACAGATGAAACCAATGACATCTTCAACAGTGCTATCAGTCGCTGGGGCTTCACCATCTGTCCAAGGTCTCTCGGCCAGTAAGATACTCCGTATGTCCATTCTGAATCAGACTCAAGGTAAGACTAGTCTAATTTCACCAGGAGCATCTCCTGGGAATATTAGACTGACATCTTTGACAAGCGGCGTGTCAGTTACGCAATCTTCTCATCCAGTTATTCAGAGCCTTCTCACAACTCGGCAACAAGAAGCAGCCACATCACCTTTACAAGTTCGACCCAAACCATCAGTCACACAGACAATAAGACCCCAGTATGCAGCAGCGAAACCAGGAGTACCCCAAGCATCTCCAAAACCATCCCCTGGGAAACAGACTCTAGAGGTTGCAGGGGGTAATGCCCCAGCAAGTACCCAGAAGATCCTCAACTCCCTGCCCGCCAGTGTTATACAACAGCTGCTCAGACACAAGGCCATCAAGATTCAAACCACAGGACCAGGTGGGACGACTTTGTTCCTCACCTCTGCTGTACCAACCTCGTCATCTCAACCCAGTGCATCATTACAACCACAACAGTTGGGAGTCCAACCACCGCAACCAGTAGCTTCATCTCAGCCCACACCAACACAAGCTGTGTTCACCAGTCTCCCTGGATTGCAAGCCGATGTGTCCAATCCATCTGTGTCATCAGGTCAGCAAGTAAACCAGTTCACAGTGATCAGCCAGTCTGTGGCTGCCTCACCTAATGTAGTTCCTTTACTGAATCCAAATATCATCAGTGGAGCAGGAGTGGGTACAAAACCACAGTTGTTGGTGGGAACTGCCCCTGGTGCGTCATCACCGAAACCTGTGATACTAGCACAACAGACTAGTCCCAGTCAGATATCCCCAAATCCATCTTTAACACCTGATCCAGTGGACCAAAGTAATACAAAAGCATACCTCACCACCAATATTGTATCTCCATCTAAACAGAAGTATGCTAGCAATGTTACTGTGAAAGCCTTGTTGGAAAACAGGGCCTCCTTGAAGGGCCCTGATTTACAAAGTATCATCAACAAAAATGAAGCAGGTGAGGGCATGGGCCTGTTATCCAGCATCAAGATGACCGAGACTCCAGCACTTACCACCAAGACCAACATCAACCTGTGCAAGGTTGTACTGCCTGCCACTGGAGGCCAGCTGAAACCCCGAGTAGTGAAACTCCCCACACAGGAAGCCCTTGATTCTGCCCTTCAATCTGTTGTGACATCAGTCCGCACGTCATTACCAACAGCCCACATCAAAGTGCCATCCCCAGTCACCTTACCCTCGATACAGCCTCGTCGTAATGTCACCAAGACCATTCAGAGCATGAAGGTGCCGATCCCCTGCTGCGCATAGAGTTGAATCTACTTACTCGCCCATTACAATAACCTGTCCCTCCAGTGTTAACCAAAGTGCCTCTGAGTCCATTACCAGTCTCTCACAAGTTACCAAGTCACCACTTAAGACAGAGTATGTTATACAGAATCCAACTGCAACAAGCTCTTCTCAAAAGAACATGTTGCTGAAAGTCGTGCCTCAGAATTTCATCACTTCTCAGGGTCTAGTTCAAGGCTACCTGACTCCACAGGGCTTGGTGATACCACAGAACAAGCAGACTGTGTTGTCTGGAGGTGTGCAGATTGCTTCTTCAGTGAATGTTGGTGGGACTGTATCAACTCCCAAGACAAACCAGGTAAATGTTGCTCTCAGTAGTCCAGGCAAAGAGACTGTGACTCAGACTGCTCAACTAGCTGCAGTCAAAGCAGTGCAAGATCCTGGAAAGCACATACAGTTGAGCTTTTCTCCTGGGAAGCAAACAGTTTCTCCTGCTTCTGTTCAAGGACTCTCAGCAGTTAGTATTGCACAAGGCTTGAACATAATGGGTAAACAAGTTGCGGCAGATGGTAATCCTCTGCAAATAACAGTTCAGAATCAACCAACTTTAGCATCTGCTTCAAGTGTGATCAAGACTGTCAAAAATACACCTCTGTTATCCAAGGTTGCTACTCCAGCGGCTGAACTTGTAAAGCAGATTGCTGCAGGACAAAGCACCATGATCCAAGGTACCAGGATGGTGGTGCCTGCAGCAGCAACTATTCAAGGCAAAAACACAGTGATGACAAATGTTGGTGGGAAAGTGCCTGTGTCTGGTCAGCAGACGCCAGCTGTCATTCCAGCATTGATGGTTGGGCAGCCAGCTGTAGCCAGTACTCCTATCACACCTAGACTGATTGTTCCAGCACAACAAATTGGTGGTACTCCTGTACAGTATGGCAAGTCTGTGAATATAAGTTCGTCTGAAGTGACAAATAAACAATCTAACTCTGTACAGCTTACAGGAAAAGGCCAGTCACCCTTTGTGTTGTCCCTTGGCAGTGGTCTTCAAAATGTTATTCTCTCCCCTCAGAAAGACACATCTAGTCAACCAGCTAGTCACATACAGAATGCCACTCTCCAGATGTCTGCACCTCAGACGTTTAGCAAACAAACTGCAGTACCACAAAATGTTGCAACATTACAACTACCTGTTCAATCAATGCAGCTCAATCAGCAACTTCTGAAGCTGACACCACAACAGTTATCCTCTGCCCTGCAGATCTCCCCACAGCAAGCTCTCTCGGGGGTGCAGGTTATCCAGCAACAACAGCAGCAACAGATCTCAGTCAGTGGATCTGGTCAAACAATACCCTCAAAACAAATCATACTGTCACCACAGCAACTGGGCAATGTTGCCATGACACCAGGGGTCAAGATGGTGGCTCAGCCATCAGTAGGGGCTGGTATAACTGCACTGATCAACAAAACTCCTCAGTTCATTCAACAGAAAATGGCAACAATACAAGTGGCTGCACCCCCAGGACAGCAAGATGGTAAAGCACCTGTTCTACTTCAGCAACATCCAGCACCAGCAACAGGTCATACTGGAAAGGTTCTTCAGGTTGGTCAGCATCAAATGCTTATCAGCAAGTCTCTACCACAACAACCTATTTCATCTCCTTCAGTTCAAACATCCAAGCTGCAACCATCGTTTAAAATGCCTCTCTCCAACATTCAGCAAAATCCTGGTGTTCAGTTTGTGTACTCACCAACAGGTAATACAGCCACTTTGGCAGCTGAACCTGTAAGTACACCCTCAAGTCCTTTAATCCCCAATCCTGGCTCCAACAGAGTCTCCATCCAGGCAGCTCAGGCCTCAACTAAGGCTGCACTCCAGGCTCATCTCTGTCAAACCAAGACTGCAACCAATGTCTCAGCAGCTAAAACAGGAACATCCACACTATCGTCAATGCTGGGCCATGAAAAGGTGAAAGCTGTGGCTAAATCATCTGCCACCAATCTGGTTGCATCAAATGCCAATGTTGTCTCACAGGTGCTTCAAGCAGCTGAGGCTAAGTTTCCAGCTTCTACAGTGGTCAACAACATTATACAAGCTGCCCAGGTGAATGCAGAAGGGAGCAAGGTTTCCCCGACTAAGATAGTATCACCCTCGCAAGATGAAGGAGAGGGAGATGGAACAGGCAGCAAGCAGCAGAAACTTCTGTTGTACAACATCGGGGGCCAGTTGATGACTGCACAGGGAGTACCTGTCACTGTTGAACAAGGTGTTCTCAAAGTACTGCCACAGGCCACAATCCAGATAGGCAACCAGATGCTCACAATCCGATCTCCGTCCTCAGCCATGGTTGAAAGTCCAAGTCCACCAAAAGGAGCTCCTCCTCCTAATGATAGTGCACCAAAAACATCTTTAAAGCCACCACAACCAGCATCAGTGCAACTCGGCACCAATACCAATGTTCTGGTTCAAGCTAACATAGCAAGTGCAGGCATTGGCCCGAGTAATGTCATTAGTCCAAGCATTCAGTCTGATGGTAAATCTTTGCCAAGTAATCACTCCCGAACAACTACTTTGTCACCAGTTTGTACACTAGCTACAGCTGACCAGCTCACAGCGCAAAGTCAGCAAGCATTTCCAGAAAGCCTTGACAGTGGGGATCTGCTCTTTGGCGCAGACAACAAGCAAGAAGGATATGCAACGGCAAATAGTGTTCAGACAGGACTACAAATGACACAGACTGTAGTTGGACAAACTGTTTCAAATAATACTGTCACAATACGTTATCCAGTTTCTGGCGAGCCACAGACTGGGCAGTTGATGCCCAGTGTGGTAGATGAGCCACAAGGACATCTGCTGACCTCTTCCAGTGTCAGCAAGACTAAACCAGTTCTCCAGAAAACAGGCAGTAGAGAGGAAGCTGCTCTTAACCTGTTGAGTCTTGCAAACATGTCGGACAGATAAGTGTGAATGAATGGCAAGTTATGAACTGTTGAACACTGTGGCCTTTGTTACTGGATGTTGATAGTTTGATGTAAAAAGAAATGAACTCTATGGTGATTTTTGAGCAATACTAGCTGCTGTATTGTTTTGCCAAATGTGTACCATGTAATCATTTTCTCAAACAGTTGTGCATACATATGGATTTATGTAACAAGTATTACTGGTCAATCATGGTTCTACTTGTGTCTCAGTTGTCTCAGGCGGCATAATCAGGACACTCCTGTCCTTGACCTTGACCTTGTACAACTCACATCACAGACCATAGGACAAGAGGTGTCATCATTCCATTGTCTGTATACTCAAATAAGGGAACATCACCATTCCATTATGTATGCAAGCATTGTTCATTTGCATTGGATAGATTGCACCTTGGGGTTTGCACATTCATGTATATACAAGACATAATTTAAAGTTTGTTCAAGTTTCAGAGTACAGAGAATGTCAAATCTCAATTAAGCTCGGGAATCAATGCTTCATTTGATTCAATGGTTAAGTTTAACTGAGAGATGTTTGGAGTTGGAGCTTATTGTTAGAGATTTTAAGATTGACATGACGATGTCCTTTGCCAACGAAACCTGAGACTTATTCTGTTATTGTGGATAAAAATGATGTGTTGAATAATGGCTCACAATGTATCAAGCCATTGTACTATAGTTCTTGTTAACCTGGCCTGTGCAACAAAGGGATCATAGTGTCAAGATCATCTGACTCCATTACTTTAGCACAGTCGCCGAAGCACTGTGATCATTTGTTGAACAGAGCCCAGAACATGCAGCATCGCTAGCTGAACCATGCCCTATGATCTGCTCTTTGAACTATATGGGTCAACAAAGCAGGATTCGAGACCGATGTGAGAAATGTGTTCTCAGTCAATTCTGATATATATTATGATAATTGAGCAATGAATTATGGAAATTGTAAGATATATTTCATTCTGTCCTTATTACGTGTATGTGATTTATTTAGTTCATTGTTAAATGTATTGAGGTCAGATGCTAAGTTAGTGTGTTACGAGTAAGAAAATTTGATACAGTATGTATGTCAGAAAGTAGCTCTGAGAATGCTTGGGGGGAAGTGACTCTGTTATCTTACATGCAGTGTCTCACTGTTCAGCAGGAGAGCAATGCTGGCTGTAATGGGAGACTGAATGGATTACATGGTCAGGCTCTGTGTCTTGGAGGGCGATGGGGTAGCCTAGTGGTTAAGGCGTTTGCTCGTCAGGCCGAGGATCCAGGTTCGATTCCCCACATAGGTACAAAGTGTGAAGCCCATTTCTGGTGTGGCCCGCTGTGATATTGCTGGAATATTGTTAAAAGTGGCGTAAAACCATACTCACTTACTTTATCTTGGGTGTACTTTGTGTCCTGATGGGTCATCGTACCTCCTGAAATCAAAACACTGAATTGTCTGCTCCAGACTCATATTTATAGGCTTGTGGCTCATAGCTGAACTATTAGTGCAACAAAATGTAAACAAAACTCAAGCAAAACACTTTTCAGAGTTGCCTCCTTTAAGTTTGCCATAATCCTATGATATGTCTATGACCTGCATCTCTTCATGCTTTCAGCCAGTATTAAGTTGATACACTCTTATGTAACTGAAGTATTTTTCAAAGCAGCATTAAACCCAACTGAGAGTGTTGAGGAATCTCTTAATAGACAAAACCTGTGAGCAAATTCCATAGGTTCTTACCTTATCAATAATATTTGTATATGAATCAGGGGGAACTAGTGGACTATTTAATGATATAAGAAGTTTTACAGTGTAGAAAAATCTGTAGAGACTGAAATCCTTCAGCATTATATTTATCAGTTGTCATACAGGTCACGATAGGAGCACAGGCATTGGAGACTTAAAATGATAGCTAATAATTGTAATGATAATATGCCATGGTTGTCGTGATTGTTTTGTCATTGTCTGTAATCAGGGATGTAATAACTGTTATACTCGGATGCTCATCCCCTATACATCATTTGTTTGTATACACCTCGTTCCTCCATCACCTGTGACTAAATATGAATGCTTTGATACGATAGTCATGCTTGTCGTAAAAGGCGACTAATGGGATCGGGTGGTCAGGCTCACCGACTTGGCTGACACGTCATTGTGTCCCAATTGGGTAGGTCGATGCTCATGGTGTTGATCACTGGATTATCTAGTCCAGACTCGATTATCTACAGACAGTATAGCTGGAACATTGCTGAGTGCGGTGTTAAACAACAAACAAACACTATGTCTAAGTTCCAAAACAAGCCATGCCTTATGCATGTGCCATAGCCTTGCAGCCATCTTTTCTACACACTGCTTCCATGTAAGGCTCAAAATTACGGATTATTGAGCTTTTTTGACACACTTTCATTCCCTTAGTTGACTTGAAGTAGATGGTTAATACTGGTTCCGGTGTACTGGTGGCTGATAAGGGGACGTAGTGTATACAAACCCATGTAGTATTGACAGTGTCAGACAATTGACATGACACATGCCACCATTTTCCAACACCAGGTAATGAGCCTGTTCATATGAAGAATGAGGGGAACAGTTACAGTTGATGTTCATCATTATAGTTATAGTTATTCACTTTAACATAAAGTTGTTTAATCCATACTTTGTTGCTAAGGTTACCTGGTTCAAAGCCTGGTTCATCCTGGCTATGTTTGACAGCGCCATACCTTGTGGGTTTCACTAAAGAGGTGAATGTCCGAGACCGGCATCACATTGGGCTTTCCTGACACATGTTGACTCACTGATGAAATAGTGTTCCAAGAGGTGTTTAATCCAGGCCACTTACTAAGAATTCATTACTCAGTTGCAAGCTGTGATGTGGTTGGATTATTGGTGATGGCTGTGTAAATACCCGGCTCACTGATCGTCATTCTGACTGTTTGGTATTACAATTGGATAGATATTTAGAAACAATCCTCTTCTAAACCGTAGCTGGGTGACATTTTGAGTATTGAGTTTCAAAAGGAAATCAAGCATTATTTTCCTTCTCAAATTTCAATACAGGTCCAATTAATATTGAAAAAACACCTGAAATTTCACAATGTGTAAGAACATGAACAGGCAAGTCAGATTTTAAAATCTTGAATTTGTGTCAGTTGATGTCTTTCTTCATGAAATTCGTTTCAACAATAGTGAACTCAGTTAAGCCACAGGTATAGTTTTCATCTTCAAATAACAGGTGTTTGGTTATATTAAAAAACTAGAATAACATTAATTTAATCAGTCTCTTATGCCCTAAAGTATAGATGGGTAGACATTGTTTTAAACAACTAGACTGAACACCATAGGACATCGTCAGCACTTAACAGGATACGTTTCTACCATGATCCACAAAGTACGAGCTTTGCTCGTATTGACGATGCACATAGAAGATGTTTCATTGAAGCAATAAATAACTTGCAGCCCTGCTTGTCCTTTAACATGACTGTGTGTGTGCTAGCTTGAGAGGAAATTATCGCGCCTTAATACAACAGATTGTAGTAATTGATTGTCAAGAAGTTTGCAAGGCACCAAGACTGTACATAGTATTTATTCATATACTACATGTCTGACATTATCATGAGTCTGTTCAGTCATAGTTAACTTATTTGCTAGCTGATTACCCATTTTGATTATTTTAAGTTTTCTGTTGATATATTTTTACTTCATCTGCAAGATAGCAGAGTGTATTTTACCACTTTCCACTGCAGTCATATTGTGAACCATCTTTGATATTTTGGAATGACTGAAATGCAATCTTCTATAAAACTACAGTGTGTTTGTTATTTTGTTTAGTTCCGGCTTCACCACGCTAAGGTTGGTGTGTGTGTTGTTTAACTCCGCTCTGAGCAATATTACAGCTATGTAGCGGGTTTGTAAATATGGATCAGGCAACACAGTGATCAACATCATGAGATGGGATACGATGACATGTTAGTCGCCTCTTACGACAAGCGTGGGTTACTGGAGACCAGTTCTAACCGGGATCTTCACAGGTTCACCACGCTAAGGATTTAATTGTAGATCTGGCTCCGATGTCTTTGATTTGAAACTTTTTACTCAAATTACAAACTGTGTTTAATAATTTGAAACATCTGTGTTTTTAACTCAACTGCATTATTTAAAAAAGCCCAAACAACTTAAGTAATCCATGCATCAAACTAAAATTTTCTACTATGTTTGAATTTAATATTGATCTCAGTTCATTCTGGAAAATGCATTTCCCTGCGTTTTCTCAAATTTGAGTAAAAACTCTTAACTTAAGTCAAAACTCAGACTTAAGCTTGTTTTGAGAAATCTGGGCCTGGTGACGTGGCCTGATGAAATGCAGTTAAAAGTGGTGTTAAACCCAGTTCACACTATCTTACTTACATTGTGATGTTCACCAAAATGATAAACGTCCAAGCCCTGGACTGCTTCACGCCTTCCTCCAACATCAAGGCTGTGACATCATTGAACTACTCTTCAAACAACTGGTGAAGTCATTGAAGAGCAATACACAAAAAGGGGGGAATTTATGTATATCAACTTCCCTGATATGAGAAACACAACGTTTACCATTCTATTATGTGGTTATCAAAGCACACAAAGCAACATGTAGTGTTTTCATACTTATGTAACCAATTTTGTACATAAAAATATGTTGAAAATTATGCTTAGAAATTATGTGTAGGGAAGGGGGGCATTGATTTTGTACGACATGCAGGGGGGTCACTTATTTTGTGCTTAAAAGTTAGAGGGTTGGGGGTGTCATTCACATTGTACAAACTTCTCCATGAAAATCATCATCATCCCCCCACAAGCCATAATTATGAATGGTCCCTAACTACCCAAAACCAAATCGGTGGCCCCCTTTAAAAAAATCATCACCCCCACCCAACTAGCCATAACTTATGAACGGTCGCTAATGAAACACACATCATGCCACGACCTGACTGGTGGTCCGTGGAGTAATGTCTCCACCAAAACACCATTACAGCACTGTTGAGACGTCATCGGAACAATAATAAAGTTGCCGGTCGACCACGTGGAGGACGTCCACGACCACACGGCCAGTGCAGGACAGATGGATATTTGTGGCCCATCTCCGACACGGGTTCCAGACTACAGCCACCACTACTCAGGCCATCGTATCTACCCCAACAGCCAGGAACCACTTACATCCGTACAGGATACGACCACGCCATCCTGCCATACTCAAACAGCAAAACCGTTAAGTGTTGTGGCGAAATTATGTCCGTCAACCTCAGTTGTGGTGGAGGACTTGTTTTTACAGCGAGTCTAGATTTATCACTTCATGTAGTCTTGTACATCAACGAGTCAACAGACGCGTTTGGGATCGTTGTGCTCAATGCTTTGGGAGGTTCCATGATGATTTGGGATAAGATAAGCACTGACTGGTAATACTGGCACAGAATCACAGATAATTAAACCATGTTCCCAAGTCCCGATTGATGGTTGGTTGGAATCTCATGTTCCTGTTGTAGCCACCTTTGACGCCAGCTGGTGGTGGTGGTGGACAGGATAGTCCCTTCTAACGTGATTGGTCTTTGTTCTTGCTGATGTGTTCGGAAATGGCGGAATTCTAGTTCCATGGCTTTCTTTGTGAAGTGAAATCTAGCCCGTCTTGGGCGGTCGGACGGGCTTTGTTTCATACAGTGGTTGATAGTTCGTATCATCGTATACATCGAGGTCGTAATTCATTATTTGCACGGCACACAATTTGGATGTTTGTGTTAGTTGGAAGAATGAGGCGTACGTATGTTTCACAGCACACTGGTTAATTATCATGTACTTATAATACGACATTTGTGTTTCCCTAAAAGGGAAGAAAAACTACGCTTGCTGAAAATCTCCTCGCCATGGGTATGCTGCCGTCAGAAATTGGTAAAACTTAGACCCATTTAGCAGCACCATACATAGCCATTAGCCTAGTTCCCTGGGTAGGCTGTGC